ATCTTGACCCTGTCTTACCATTGGAACACGGTAAGTGTAGGAAGGAGAAGTGGGTGAGGTAGGTCTGTGAGATTCACACGCAAAACACCGCTCTGTCCTCAGGGCAGTGTTATCGCCCCACCCGGCCTGATACTGAACAAGATTTCCTGCTTTTTCCAGCTCAAAAAATAGGCTGACTACCGGGGTTTCACCAAAAAGGTTACTCTGAGGACCAATCCATGACAATGGTCTTGCCGTAGGAAAGTTCTGCAAACGAGAAAATAAGGAAAGCTGTCCTCACAATCCGTCAGACCAAAGGAAGCTTGAGCAGCAATGCAGTGAAAGTTTGGCGGCTGTTGACGGTGGGCAGTGAGGAGCACGATGGCAAAATGACCGAGTACTACACTTCCTAACCCCAAAAGTATATGCAGTCTGTGTGTGTCATAGAAGGCGGCAACAGACGGCTGACTGGTTCAAACAGTGAACTGGAGTATGAAAGAAGGAATGGAGTGAGATCGACTCTGGGGACTCCGTCCACACAGCACACCCCAGCGTATTCTCTCAGCATAAACAAACTGACGAGCTTTTAAACAATCGCGATGCGTAACATGGAAGGCTGTCAGCTGACAGGATAACTTGGCCCTCTCCGGAAGGAGTCAGGCTGCAATGGCGCCTTCCTAATGTGACTTTCATGGCACTCCCCACTTAGTTGAGAACTAAGCCGTCCCTTGTCTGGTTTCTATGGAAACCTGAGCCATCGTGGGCGGACCAGACGTGTGTGGCAGGCGCAGACCAGCTGATTGGCCTTGTCAGTTGCTGCGTCCGATCCCGCCTCCGGTATTCTTGACTCTAAACAGACACCGGGCTCAGGAGTGTGGGGGAAAAGGAAGTGCGGCAGACGCTTTGCAAGCCTGTTATCAGTACGTTACTACCGACAAAGACAAGGGGGACTGGAATGGCCATTTCCGGCTTATTAGCCGTCGTCAGCCAGTCATACCCAACCACCCACCCCCCTGAAGTGTGCAACACCCGAGGCTCGAACTCGTGACCTGTTAGTTAGAAGTCCACGCCCCTAACCACTGAGCCACGAGCCCGTTGCCCTGTCGGTTTTGATCGGGAATACACAATGGAAGGGGGTGCTCACCGATCGTTGTTACGGAAATCACTCGTTCCGTTGTGCCTTATGGGCTCCCTCTCTCGAGCCCAACCAGCAGCCGCACAGCGGCGTGGACTTCTAACTAACAGGTCGCGAGTTCGAGCCTCGGGTATTCCACACTTTGGGGTTGGGTATGACTGGCTAGCGACGGCTAATAAGCCAGAAATGGCCATTCCAGTCTTCCATGCCTTTGTCGGTAATAACATACTGACTCTATATCATGCGCAGCTGTGCAGCTGCTGGTTAGGCTCGAGAGAGAGCCCGTAAGGCACAACGGAACGAGTGAGTTCCGTGACAACGATTGGTGAGCGCCCCTTTCCAAAGCCTATTATCATTATAAAATAATTCACGCTGAAGTCGCCGTTCTGCACCCACGCCGCTGTGAGGCCCATGGTAGACATCGTCGTTGGTGATGATCGATCTGACTTTCACACCACCACAGAAGCACCCCTAACCAGATAACTAGTCCAACTATACCAACAGGTATCACCACTGTCCTGAAAGCGCAGTGCTGATCCGCTCGAATTCTGCGTTCCAGTTGCTTCACTGCTACACGATGTCACACTGAAAGGACGAAGTCAGGGCACCTGGCGCAGTGGCGGACGTCACCAAACAAACGTCTGCGCATGGCAGATAGAAGGAAAGGCCTTGCATGCACCAAAACTCTTGACTAAAAGTGCAAGCGTGTGCGTCATCAGAGCCGCAGGGCTGAAGTTAATAAAGTCGTCTACCAGTGAACAGAAAGACATTTCTTCCGAAGAAGCCGCTAATTTCGTCCAATCTGGCAAGCTCGGAGTCGTGGCTTTAGAGGCTGGATAATGATGGGATAACCCAGGTGGCTATTTAAAACTTTTATATTTAAAACGTGGCTATTTAAAACTTGTAAGTAGGCACTTAATTCTGACAAACATTTGAAGTCGGTTAGTGTGTCGCAGCCAACAGGTCTTATTTTTTGATTTGAAGATTCAGTAGCGGCCGCTGCTGCTGCGTGTAGTACTTATGTACCGGTCCGAGAACCAGAAATCAAGAGAAAAATCTGTACTTCTTAGAAATGAGCACCTAGATGGAGCACCTCTTTATTAACCTTCGATGTCCACATACGAACTCAATCACATTTTGAAGGGAAGCACAGAAAGTCCATGTTTGTTTTTATTTTGCAGGGAATTAAGCTTTGCTTTCATTTTGCGCTTGGGGAGTGTATGAGCATTTCATAAATTTTCCAACCATGAGCAATATTGAGGGGTTGACATGATTAGGTGAGTAACAGCACCTGCGGGACTACGTAAATAACGGGATATGCGCACGTTTGTTAGTGAAACATTTCTGAGGAATACCCCCATGAAAGACATTCGCCAGAAAATTATATGAGCAATTGGCGGCCTACTGCGTACGGCATAAAGAGACATGTGTTTTTGCTCGGACTAAATATACGGTGTGTAAGCTGGAAGCTCCAAATGTAAGTGTAGTGACGGTTTGTGGTTAAAAAATGCAAATTGATACGAAAATCAAGAGCGAGAAGCACCCTTTCTTCACGGAGTCTTTTGCAAACTGAAGGAGAAGAGTTAATTTTATGTTAGTTCCTTAAATAAAATATGATTGGGTTTATACAGGCGTCAAAAATCAATGAAAAAATATGCGCTTCTTGAGAAATCGTCTTCAGCGAGTGTGATTTCTGCAGGCAGCTTAAAAATTGTCCATCCAAGAGCCAACATCCTAGCAATCGAAACTGCAATCTCATAAAAATAACCCCTTCCGCCGAAGCTTTTATTTTCAGTCTTCAGTCAATGCCCTATGAGCTTCAAAATTAACTGCATTTTGAGCGTGCCGAATAGCAGTCATGTACAAAGTCAACTGGTCTGGTGTGACTCCAGGCCGGTAGTGCTACTCACAAGAACTAAGTCACCCAACGTCATGCGTTTAAAAAGAAGCAAAACCAATGTATCTTTGAGAGTTCACTGAAGTCGACGTTGAACCGACGATCGGGATCATTGGTGTTGTAAGTTGTCACCTTTTATGACTATGTTCATATAATCTGTTCTTAGTGAATGAATTACCAAAAGGACAGCACAGGTACTAGTTTAAAGCACACGCACAGTACGTGGGCTAACTCATGAAATGTCAACCTAAATTCCGAAATGCGCTTTCGTTTCGAAAAGAGTAATCAAATATGGTTGTAAAACTAATCACCGTCCTACATAATTCTATAATGATCCAGTCACCTCAGGGTGTCAGCTTCCGAATGAACTTATTTCCGGCTGCATAAAAGAACTACACTCTGCGAAAAATGACTATTTAAGTAGCACGCAATTTTCTCATTGATTTTCGATGCCATTAAAAGTTCAATAATATTTCACGAAAAATACACACAAATATTCATTCTTTCGCTCGTTTGGTAGATGATGACGTCTTCATCTAATTTTATGCACGAAGGAGTATAATTCGATTTCAAAAAAGTTTCTAAATGTGAGATTTTTTAATGCCGTGAAATGGCCGTTCATAAATCGTCATGTCCCTGCCTTTACCAATGTGGCTTGTAAAGTTAACAATATTGCTCAAATCCACAGCTTAATTTTATGAACCCCATATGGGCTGCTTCTAATACCGTAGAGAAATGCATGGTATTCCATACACGGAAAATATACAGCTTGTAGTTTTGAAACCCTGAATGCAAGTATAAGAGCAGGTCGGGTTAAAACTTATTCCGGAATTGGAAAAGTTTTTGAAAACCGAATTATACCCTTCCTTTGAGTATAAAATTGGAAGAAGACGTGATTTTCTACCGAATGAGCAAAAGAATGAACATTTTTGTGCACGCTTTCCGTAAAATAAAATAGAGTTTTTAAGGACATCGAAAATCAATGAGAAAAATTCATGCTGCTCAAGTAGTCATTTTTGCAGAATATAATTCCTGCATGCAGTCGAAATAAGTTCATTCGAAGGCCGGCACCCTGAGGCAACTGGATCATTATGGAATTATGCTGCATGATGATTAGTTTTACAACCCTACTTAATTAATCTTTCCGAAACCCGAACGCATTTAGAAATTTCGGTTGACATTTCATGAGTTAGCCCACCTACCGTACGTGTGTTTCGCTGATCCAAGGGAAATAAAAAGGACAGCATGGAAACCGGGGTCCATATAGCAGAAAGCAGACGGTTAGAGGACGCACTGACGAGCCAAACCACTCGCAGCCGCGTCATTTAGCCGGACAAGGTCAGTCAAACACGCTAGTATCTGTCCCGTTAGTACAGTAAATCATTAAGTATTTATATACTACTGATTCCCTGGTGGCAGCTTGTGAATATTACGTGGCCATTCCGCGTTAGCTGATGGATCGCAGATCAAATACTCACATAAATTTTCGCAGCCGACGTCGTGCGACTGCTGGTTAGGCTCGAGAGAGCCCTAAGGCACAACAGGACGTGTGAGTTCCATTAAAACGATTGGTGGGCGCCCCTCCACCATAAAAAACTCTCCTCCACAGGATTTACACCAGGCTCGCGAATTAATTTCTGACGAAATTAAGAAGGGTAATCTGTTCTTCTATCCGGAACCGTGTAACAGATTGACCGCAACGCGACTGAACGAGAATCGCCAGGATACCTCCGCCCCTCATAGTGCAACAAATTCAGTGCTATCAGGTGTATAAATACGGAGTTCAGACAGACAGATCCGTCGTGAAAAGTCTACACCTCTGAAATAGTAGATGACTCACTACAAAACAACTGGCCTTATTTACTACCAATATGCCACAGGTACGACTTCTGAAACCCCGGTGACCACTTATCTCTCCACTGTGGTAGGAACGGGGCGAATGAAAAATCAGCAGGACAATATAATGATGTACACATCGCACAGAGACAGTCAGGTAAGCTGACTTACCATCTGCCATATTTGTAAAATATTGTCTTCAGAAACAGAACATATGGTCCAGGGATCATTAATATTCCAAGTGAAATCAGATATCTTGGCTGTGTGGCCGGCGTGGATGAAGAGAAGTTCTGGTGGACCGTCCTCGGCATCCTCTGCAGTCTGATCCACTCCTATCTTGCTGAGATCCCAAATATGCAACCGTCGGTCGGTACCAGAAGAGGCAAGAATGGTTTCATTATGTGGTGACCATTGAACCTGTAAAAAACTATCCTTTAGAACATTGAAAGCTACAGACATAACGAAAGACTGTTGAAGCCGTTTAATTATTCTATGCAAAACACCACAATCTGACCTTAGATTGAGAAAACTCGAGGCCCTGAGCGACTTGTAAAAACGTGGTTACCCAAAACTTGTAAGTAGGTACTATAACCTGACCAATATTTGCAGTGGGTTAGCGCATCGCAGCCAACATGTCTTATTTTTCGATTTGCAGTTTCAACAGAGGCCGCTGCCGCGGGATGTGCTAGTGAAGATTGAACAGAAGAGGGGCCCATAAACAAGTACTTTTACGAGGAAAAATTTGAAGAGTAACAGAGGTACATGCCTGGAATATTTCATCGCGATGAGATTCAAACGAGTGCAGCTTCAAGCGGAGATTTCGAAGGTCCCACAGGGCTACAGTCTAAAAAATACATCAAAAATCATCGGTTTTGTGGAAAAAAGGATGCGATGAATATCGGTGGTCCCCGATCAATAAAACAATGCATCACCCGCATTCTTATGCGAGAAGTTACAAGGATCTATGGGATGCAGTATTGGGTAAACATAGTTACTAAATCAACCGGCTTATCCATCAACGTTACAAAGGCCGAAATTTTCCCAAGCTGCACCGCCTCCAGATTATTGACTGCCAGCACGAGGATGTGAACTGTTCCAAATATATCGGAGCGAAGTTGCTGTCGAACGGACAAAATAAGGATGATATCATAGCGCGAATGAATGCTGCTCGCACGGCGTGAACAAACTATTTCAGTCGTCTTTTGGATGAGCTGAAATATCCTGAGGTTGTTGTTGCGAGGAGTGAAAACGGTCTCTCACTGGAGACGAGGTCGGCGCACTTCGTCCGAAGGATGATTCTCAGCCGAAAGTGGTCAGACGCCCTCTATTTTCGTACGTTTTTTATGTACGTGCAAGGGGAGGTGTCGGACAGATTGACGGTGTGTACGGGTCTTTTTGGCGGTTGAGATACCGCGTCGGGTCTACCTACGGCTTCAGAGATAGCAAAACTGCGAGCAGCATTCATTTTCGCAATGATGTCATCCTTATTCTGTCCGTTCGACAGCAACTTCTTCTTACCCTCATTTGTAGCAAACTACGTCTCTTCCAAATTTCTTTATTCACCGCAACGGTACTTTCGAGACTGCAGGTTTCCCTTGGACAGAAAGATGCTCTCTCTTCGAGCAGAACATTTAAATTAACTTTCTACTAAATGGGTACAAAAAGGGGTATTTCTGTATGACTTTTACAACAAAAAAACATCTAGATTTGTAGAGGCATCAAAAATCAGGAAGATTTACACTATTTAAGCAATCATTTGAGCCAATATAATTTCTGCAGGCGGCCGGAATGATGCGCGTTTGAATGTGGATATTCTGCGTGACTTAAATTTCTTGAGATTATGCTGCATGATAATCAACATTTTAACTTCGCTCAAGTGATCCTCTCTGACCGAAATCGCAATTTAGAATTTCAGTCGATGAAATAGCACGGATTTCTGGTTAAACAGTCATGAAATGGGCCACCTTCAAGTTGACCCAAAGAACCCGATTAAGCACCTTATCGGCACTGCCGGTGGCGAGGATAAACTCGGAGAAGGGATTGAAGGCCAGGCAGTTGACCTCAGCGGTGTGTGCATCGACCTGATGCTGGGCCTTGCTTCGCGAAGAGCTGCGGGTGTCCCAAATCATGAGCTTATTGTCGTCCGCCACCGAACCAAAGATGTGGCCATGAATGAGGTGCCAGGCGACATCCTCAACTACTGAATGGTGCCCCGTAAAAATTGCCATGGCGTCAACGCAGCGTGAGTCAAGCGGTGTGGCGGAGATGTCCCAAAGACAAATTGTTTGATCATCAGAGGCGGACAGCAAGTGGCCGTGGTGAGTGGCATTCCAGGAGAGGCCATAACCCTCTTTTTGATGACCCTAAAAAAGTGGAGAACGTTCAATGACTGGAGACTCAAAGTACGGCAGACAGTAGGAAGAAAAGACTAGTATACATAGAAAAAGTCTCTCCAAAAAAACTTGGCAATGGGTAAGGGACACGCACATAGTTCGAAATCAAGAGATTGGGTACGCGGTTTAAATTTGTTAAACGACCTGCATTGCAATAAGCGGGTTTTATGGTGCACACTCGTGGGTCAATTTGTCAATTTTGCATACCTTTCTGGGAAATTCGCACTTTTTAAAGAAGACCTATCTTCGTATGTACAAGCGAAGGGGACTCCCACCTTGACCACTGACTTGTACTCCCTATTGGATGTGGAGAGCTAGCTCCAACCCCCTTCTTCAGCGTCCAAGACCGAATGGCAAGTGTTCAAGAAGCACTTCAATATCCCTAAGGACTGTGCTGAGCCAGGTTATGCACTCGCGATGGGCTGCGATGCCAGATCAAGGGCAACAGCACTGAACTCATGCGATGAGCATCTAACGGGCGTAACCGAACTGCTTCAGTCATCTTTTGAAGGACTTGAAATATCCTGAGGCTATCGTTGCAACGAGTGAAAACGGTCTCTCAGTGGAGACGAGGTCGACGCACTTCCTCCGAAGGATGGCTTTCAGTCGAAAATGGTCAGACGCCCTCTATTTTTGAAAGTCTTTCATGCACGCCGCCCAGTACTAGTAACCGTGCACGAGGAGGTACGGGACAGATGGACGGTGCATGTGGGCCTTTGTGGCGGTGGAGATACCGCGTCGGGCCCACCTACGTCTTCAGATACAGCGAAACTCCGAGAGCAGCATTCAATCGAGCTGTGATATCATCCTTATTCTGTCCGCCTGACAGCAACTTCGCTCCGATATATCTGGAACAGCTCACTTCTTCAGGCTTGCGGTCAATAATCTCGAGACGATGCAGCTTGGAAAAATGCTGGCCTTTGTAACGTCGATGGATAAACCGATTGATTTAGTAACTGTCTTCACCCAATACAGCATTCCATAGATCCTTTCAACCGTTCGTTATCAAAGCATCTTAAACGTGGTGGCGGTCAAACAGTCGGCGTCCCGGCGAAATTCGACGTCAAAATCGCGTACACTCTTCTTGAAAATTCAGTGAGTGACGCAGTTAGACTAAATGGGCGATAGGATACACTTTTGAACCCCAGACCAATTATCTGACGATCGGTAATGGGCCGGAACTCGCAGATGTTGAGCAGTGACGATTTTGGCCAATGCATCGTCTAATCTCAATATCCACCACATGGACTCGCAACGAATGGCATCAAAAGCTGCAGTGAAGTAAATAAATCAGACAGTCATTGGGTGCTGGTAGTCATGTAGAAGTTCACTAATGTGTCGCACTGTAGATATCTCGTCGGTTCATTCATGCCCAGCACGGAACTCGGCCTTGTTGTCTCGTTTTAGGGTAACACGCTCTGAGACAGTGCGAGAATAGCAATGGCAAAGACCTGCACGAGAACGTCAATGGTCCTCACACTTTTCTCAACCACTTTTTGAAGACATACATTAAGATAACCGAACCCGCCTTTAGGAACGATCTCATCTTCCCACGTTGACTCCATCACTTCATGGAGCCAGAGAGCCGGAGTTTTGACACAATACTTGCTGACGTCGACAGGGATACTCCGCCTTTCCGAACGTCTCGCCGTTGTGTAACCTCAGAATTGCAGCGGGACTTTTTCTGAAGGGGTGGAGAACAAGGCCTTGCGACGGCTGGAGATGAATGAACCCCAAACCCAGGGAAGAGGGAAAAAGGTTGGTGGTTGCAGGTTGGCTGTCAGAGTTGACAGGGCATTCGAAGTGCTCACCCCAGCGCCTGAGCATGATCGAGTTGTCGGCAATAAGGCCATCATTCACACCGAGTCCTCCGCTAACTTGGTGAACCACTTAACAGAATTTTCGACTATCATCGACGCTTGTAGCCCACTATTTTCCGCAGTCGTCTACAGCCAACGTTGCAGTCATTTTCCAGACTCGATGTGATGGAACCATTGCTGTGAGGCTACCCGGAGCACAACTGAAGGTTTTTCAGCTGATCCAGTCATCATGGAAATGGCGTGTGTGCCCAAACACCCTCATACTCGGCTCGCAAACTGGGCGCCTCAGTGATGAACATTTACTAACGCCTTCGGCTCAAGCAAGGTCAGAATTTATGTGCTCTGGGGTTCGACCGTGTTGGTCTGTCCGAATTTTTAGACATCGAGGAATCTTGAAGGAGGCAGGCAGGGGGCATATAAGAGGTGGACTTTCAGACGTGTGCGAACGAAGACACGGTCTACTCAAAAGTTCCGGCATCACGCATCGACCTGCCATCATGCAGTCAGCCACAAAACCTTGAGGCAACTTTGCAGTCCACATGCCCGAGCGCACAACCATCGTTTACATGCCAGGTCATTAAATGTTCATAGCGATGTTGAAAGCACGTGTTGGAGAGAGCAAAACAGTTCTGGTCAGCAATGTGCAATCTTATTTCACCGCTGCCGCATTCAGAACCATGACCAAAAAGTTTTATTGGGTTGTTTTTTGAAGAGTTGGCTAGCCCAGCCCGGACATACAAGTTACCGGAAACAAGCAGCAAATCACAGCGATGGGGTTCTCTGATCAGTTCTAACAGCTGCGTGCAAATAGTTCCTTTGTCGCGCCGGTCAGTAGATGTTTTGTGTAAAAGGAAACAACAGAGATTTTGGTAGGGTACCCCTTCGGTCGTACGTGCGCTAGGCGGTTATTTACTGGTTCCAACACAGACAAAACATGACTCACTGGTCATGAGGTCGATAGCCACATGATGTCCGCAGGAGTGGTGTTGTGGTAGAAAATGGAGTGGAGGTTGATCTCTAAAACCCATATTTTTCAAAAGCTCAAGCCTGGGAGTCTGGCTTCAGACAGGCGGCAGACATCATTATGGTACTGATAAACATTGCATTCCGGCAGATTTCGGGTATCAGAGTCAAGGAACGTTTGTGGATCCCAGTCTCGAACAACAATGGCCCGTTACAAATGAGCAGTACAGTTCGCGTACTATTCGCCGCACCACTGCGCCAGGGTTGATGAGTGCGTCAGTTCTAGTATATGCTATAGCTTGGATTGTAGTATTGAAACTGGATACTGTCATGTAGACTCTGGGAAAATTTGAAAAAGGGCGGGTCCTCAACAGCCATCTCCAGCACCACGGCTCAAGAACCTAACCGCGAGGCAGTGGTGGAAAGTTAACTTGTTTCCTGGCAATTCACGGTCTCCATGCTACTGTACCTTCATACAGTGTTATGTTATTTTATAAGGCAGTCCTCAGTCCTCGGCGCCCCTGCAGCACCCAAATAGTGAGTATACAACTTATCCTGAGAGAAAAGAGCCCACCTGTGTAATAACATTATTTTCCGATAACTCACCAAAAAGCTGGTCTGGGTTAAAATTCTAAATGTTCACAGACCAGGATTTCACTACGGCTGATGGAAAATAAGTCAGAAATTGTCATCTTAGTTCCCCTTGTCCTTGTCAGTCAAACAACTGCATTACTGTATTAAACGTCTTCATGCGATTTCCTAAAAGAGCTCCCAGCAGAAGCTCTAGAGAAAAACGTAGTCGCCTGTATTCCGTTTGGCAACCAGAAAGGATCGATGAACGTCATTTTTGTGCGAAGATTTTCTATAAAATTGGCATGCTTCGTAGAAAACCTGTTTTGTATGTAATGGAAGAATTGTAATTTCGCTGGCGGATATGCTACCAACCTGGAAGCAAAGGGGGCTTCATTCAGTGCCATAGCTGTAACCATCCATATGCTTTTTACCGTTAGGGTGGACATAAGTTCAATTTCTGCCGGAAGGCCAGAATCGAACATTAGTGCTCGATTTCTAAACCCTTCTCAGAGAGGCGTTTTCTACTAGATTGTCTAAATGAGGAGGCAGATCGACAAATTTGTTGTCATGAGGAAAGAAACAGGTCCACCAACGTAGCTGTTAAAGGTAACGCGTTCGCCCCCTTGTTCTTGTACAACCAACAATACTGAGAAGGCGGCTCCCGACCAAAGGCTCTAACCGGTAGAAGAATCATTCATTATGTAGGGAAACTGCTTGGGTAATAGACATACAGTTGTGGAGATTCATTGCATCGCAGTCGAGTGACTAGATAAGAAAGTGTCTGAATATGATATGATGATCGGTGACCAGCGTCCTTATCCTCGCAGCCCCTATTGACTGGAAGTATCCTGGCAACCAGAACAGTATCTTCATAGATAAAAATGCGTATGAGGATGATGGCAGTTCGATGTTGATGAGAACGGGGAAAAACTCGAGTGCTCAGAGTGGCCGTTCATCCGGTGCTGGTCCAAAGTGGACCGCCTTTGAGATCAAAGATCCACCCAGTACAGGTGTCGATAGACCGACTCTCTGAGCCGGCCAAATTAGACGGGTGCCAAAAGAAAAAAGTGACCGCAGGCAGCTCCGGTGATTAGTAAACTGCGATCTCCGAACATATATGGGGCGATACAAAGACCTGGACTGACTAAAACATAAGACTTTGGGTCAGTTGTTGACGACTTATCCATGCTCACAGAAGATCATGAAGAAGAATACTTCGATGGATTTCGCATCCTTTCTTGTCAGCTATCGGCTAAATTCTATCCCTCCCGACATCACAAAAATTGCTCAGCACACAGATGCAGATTTCAAAATCCGCCTGGCGATAGTCTAAAGCTTCATATCCCCATCCTCCGTAGTTTTGTTTCTCAAAGGCAAATGTGTAAGCTTAGAGACGCTATCGACTAGCAGCCAGGAAGTCATAGTTCATGAGCCCCTGGGAACTTGTTTTATTTGATGCCTGGGTGGCGGTAGTGAATCCTTTGGCGCCGGGAAGTACTACTTCGCAAGAAATCTGCCGAAGTTAGGATATGTTTTCCCACCCAGCTCCGTGTAAACTGACCTTCCTGTCCCAACCTAATATTCTTCTTATGCCACCCTTTCTCCCACTCCTAAGCATCCGACCGTTCATATCGGACTCGAAATCCTTGCAGATTTCCGATGGGTCTGGGCTGTCAAGGAACCTCACTTTTTCTAATAGCATTACGTCTCAATCGAAAATTCGGACTTTTGGGGGTAAAAGGTCTTTAATCCATCAGACTTCCCAAATCCCAAAGAGATTTAAACCTTCGAAATGTCTTAAATGTGTCTAATTGTCTGGTAATTCCGACTAATGGGAAAATGAACAAGACTAATTAATGTTAAAATTAACAAATATCACTAAACCACGTCTAAGTGCGCAAGTTTAATGCCTTGCCTTCAATCGTAAATCCGGTTGGCATCCTCTTTCGGCAGGCGCTCGGACGGGGTGGTGGGGATATTCAAAAACGAGGACGTCGCCACTGGGTGTTTTGGTTGCAATTACGTCCGGATTTTGAGGCATGTAACGCGCACGGTTGACCTCGCCTTCATGATTAATTTTCATGGTTATTTCCAGTTTTCCCGACGGATAATAGAATCCACCAAAATTTCCTTTCTCTGACTCGTATGTACTAGCGTCGAATTCAGCATTATCGTTCGGAAGATGCACTGTTGCTATTAATAAGTGATTTTGCTCGTCTGATGTGTGTGTTCCCAGAATGAGCCGGTGTACCGAGTAATCTTCAGCAGTTCTAAGAACATCAAAAAATAAGCAAGAAACCTACCGTTCAACTGTTGGTAACCACTGGGCTGAAAGGCTAGGCCACTCCAAACAATGGGACATGAGCATGTCATAAAGAAATGGAGTATTTCGCTTCCAAATTTTATATTCTTCATTAATAGCACGTTCTTCGACGATATCCTGGGAGTTTGCGTCGGGTATGTGCTAAGAATGTTTTAATTAAAAGAAAACAAATCTACCATCATCTTCACTCCAGAACAACCCCAAGTGAAAATAGCAACTACACACCAAGAATGAACCTCCCTCACTTATTCGGCCGGTCGGGTTCGCTTAACCTTATAGCTCAAGTTCAAGTAAACAAACACCGGAATAGTGGGTTTGTTAATTCAGAATTACACAGTACGAATGTGACTGTGGTTGTTATATTTTCACTGTAACTTCTGAACCAATACCGGGGGAAGTAATCTTAGAAACCTAGGACTGTTGAACCAAAACATTTTGAGGCCTATAATCTGCCCCCACAGACAAGTGGCGTCGCAGTTTTCACCACCACAACACCGGTAGGAGCCAAGCAACAAGCAGAAAAACATGTTCAAAGGTAGCATACAATTAGAAGGGTTCTCGGTTTTCGCAAATCGTTCAAAAATATCGTTCGTATCCATGCTCAAAGTCGCGTACCTAAACAGCGGGTTATGACCAGGTGTACTTACACCACCGAAAAGCAGCTTGGAGGCAATAGCATATATTGCATAAAACATCTGAGTTTGCCAGAGCGCCTGAAAAGGTGGATTTTGCGAAAATTTCGTCTTCTCCAAAGAGGACAAAAATTCCCGAAACCTTAACGAATGTCGTCTACGAGGAAGAAAATTTCACGGGACGTCTAAATCTTACCACATATTTTAGTTATGCGGAAGGAGATAGAAAACGCTGAGAAAAAAATGGAAAATCTAGAAAGGTCTGTCTGCTATTCATTTTGTGAAAAGAACCCATTCGTGCCATAAATTCCAAAAAAGAACTAACGTATGCGGATATGGCTTTCTCAGGTGAATCTGGCAGTGGGATAACATACATCGGGTCCGCTGAGCCCAGTAAAATAGTGAGTCTTTCTTTCGTTGAAACGGTAGGCCAAAAGAGTTCATGCGTTTTGTCGTTGTTAGTTACTCTAGGCAGTCTCAACTACGGTCTTGTTGGTCGACCAAACGCTGCATCCATACTAGATGCTTACCTAATGTCAAGGGTCATGGCGAATCAGATGAGTCAAGTAGGAAGGAGTCGACGAGGGTGAAGATAATTCCATAAAAGTTACGTCTTACTCGCAGCGAAACTCCTTATTCGTGGTAGGCAATCGGACTGAACCCAACGCCGGTAGCACATGGGCCACTGGAAGAAGAAATAGCGAAATACACGAAGTGTTAGCTCTTAACTTTAGGATGTTGCGTTAGTAATGGCGCAAATAGTAAAACCGACGTGGATGTAATAGTTTCTTGACGTCGTTTGATACTGGAACACTTCCTATCGATTGTAAGTCGGCGCATATTACTCCGCTGTACAAATGAGGCAGCAGGACATCGACGACAACAGCTTGACATCCATTCTCTGCAAGGTTATGGAAAAGATCATAAAGAGTGAATTAGTGCATCCATGGAAGTTCACGGCCTGCCATCGAAATGCCAACAGGGGTTTCGGAAGAGACGATCCTGCACGGTTTATGTAACAGTCTTTGGTGTGGGCACATTGTCGAACGCCTTCTAGAAGTCAACGAAAGCTATGTAAACAGCGTGCCCGTCGTCGAGAGCTCGGATCCAGCTCTGGAAAGAATGCAGGAAGTTTTTCGTGCAGGATCGTCTCTTCCGAAACCCCTGTTGGCATTTCGATAAAAGGCCGTGAACTTCCATGGATGCACTATTTCAGTTTTTATGATCTTTTCCATAACCTTGCAGAGAATGGATGTCAAGCTGTTGTCGTCGATGTCCTGCTGCCTCCTTTGTATAGCGGAGTAATATGCGCCGACTTACAATCGATAGGAAGTGTTCCAGTATCAAACGACGTCTAAGGGAGCAACGACAAAGACAGACAAAGCTAATTAGCATATTCTTTGAGAAGCTTGGGTGGAATCACGTCTGGTCCTGGCGAATTCCATTCGTTCAGTGCTTCTAATGCTCCTTGAACAATATCCCCTGAAAAGAATACATTGCTTATGCTTGGAGTTGACAGTTCTTCTGTGGATTGAGGAAGGAACTTTACTTCGTTTGCGTAGAGCGGTTGAAAAAAAACTGTGAAAAATATGCAGCTTTGTACCCGCTATCAGCAATCTCAAGGCCACCGTTAGCCCATATTAGGCGGGTTTGGCGTCTGTTTCTTGTAGCTGTAGAGTAATTGTGGGTTCGGCGTTGATTTTTATAGCAAATTCTTTCGAATTCCCGCCGCGTTTTTATAATCATTTTTCTTCGTTTCTTCCGTTGTGTCTTGTAGGCGTGGAAATATTCAACTTGCCCAGTGACGCAGTATTTTCGTCACGAGTGCCCATCGTTCCATTCTTGGCGAGAACATCTGTTGTATCCCTCGTTTGTCTCCCAGAAAACGTAAGATGGGCTTATGATCAGTGGGAATCTCGAAGGGTCGGCCAAACAGATACAGATGGAAGCTATTTAGGCCAGACTAAGGCCTCTTTATCTGGTTGCAAATAGTTGGTTTCCGCTTGGGACATGACTCTTTATGAAAAGGCGATCGACATCTCCGCACCAGAAGGTATTTGGCGCATGAGAGCCGCACCTACACCGTACGGTGACTCATCACATTACAGTATAATTCAGTATTTATGAGGGATATAGGCAGACTTTTGCAAAACCCTATTTACAGGTAGACGTATAGAAAGCATGCACATATTTACATAACAGTTCTGTCAGTCACTGATATCGGGTAAATGTTTGACCATCAAGCATACATGTATCTATTCTTTTTTTGAAGGTCTCGACGTTTTCTGCCATGACAACGGAGATCGGCAATTTGTTCCATCCTTCAACCCGCCGGTGGGAGAAGAATTTGGCCTCCAATTCAAGTCTGGCATATTTTATTCTTAATTTGTATTGGTGGCTCGAGGATTTGTCTTCCGCGCCAGTTCGAAAAAATCGTCAAACTGAAGAACACAGTCTTGCCCTCGGACGGTCCTGTATGCCATTCTCAAATCCCCTCTGTATTGTCTATAAGAGAGGGGGACAGTTTCTAATTTTTGCAGGCGTCTCTCATAAGGTAAGCTACCGTATCCGCCGACCAGCTTGGTCGCTCTTCGTTGTACGTTCTACAACAGGGTGTAATATTGTTTCCTCCCGAGGCACCATGCCTGAACAGAATATTCCAACATTGGTCGAACGAATGCTCCAAATACTCGGCCGAAAAGTTCTTCGTCACAATTGAGGAAGGATCTTCTTATCGCGCCTAGGATAGCCATAGCTTTCATTGATACCTTGACGCAGTGAGGCGATGGTTTGATAGTTGACGTCATCGGAGTCATAATGAACTAGGACAGATGAGGAGGCAAGAGCCGCCTATGCCTGTTCAAAAGCACATTTTCTACCACAAACTAGTTCGATCAACGATTCTTTTCAAGTAGTCGATGAAGAGGACCGATTCACCCCCTCAATTCCTTTGTAATCTGATGCGTTCCTTGTCACCATTAGTTTTGCACGTGCAAGTATTTGAAATAGACTGGCCGGCTTAGTTACTCGTGTTCAGTTTGAACTTGCAACATTCCGAACTTTCTTTCCAGACAGCTAACGGATTTTCTTCCTCTTCTGAGGAAACTGTTGTCGGTCTTTCTCGAAAATGGTCTCTTTTCTGACCGTTGGAAAACTTCTATTATTATTCCAGTATTTAAATCTGACTTTAGTTTTGAAGTTCAATATTTTCGTGGTGTTCATAAAACGCCCTGTCTAAGTAGAGTGGTTGAAAAAAACCTTCCCATCAGGATTACAGATTTTTACATATGAAATCAGGTTCTTAGCGCCCACCAGCATGGTTTGTCACTTGAGCGGTCCCTTTCGTTTTGACTTGCATTAATAATATTTTGTCGGCACTTAGATACTTAGTCGTTTATTGATACCGATCATCTCAAGTCCGCATATCCTTCCTCTTAATCTGCCGCCCAATAATTTCTGGAACAAATCCATTCTGGAACGCTCATTATTTTCGCATGAAGCTCAACATGGTTAGTTGAATTTTCTCTTTCTTAATGTCGCTACATGTGTTTTGGACCTAAAACTGTGCCCCACGTAGTGATTTTTGTAGACATCCCTATTACTCAATGTTTTGTCCGCAGGGACTTAGGTTTAAGCTACTCCAATAATCTACATCTCTCTCTGTACGCTAGTAGAATTACGGTCGAAGCTGCCCAGTTATGTGGTTTCGTTCCTAAAAATGTTTACTAAATGACATTACATTAGAACATACTCGAATGTTTGCCATTCCCATTCTCGAATGTTTGGGTCCATTCTTTAGTGTACTAAATGAGGTTAATCGTTCTAGTATTAAAAGAGCTCGTAGGCATTTTCCTGAAAAATGCTTCTTCTTAACACTTCCAAATACTTCTTAATCAAATAGACGTTAGCTATCCAACTTAAAGTTTATACAAATTCGGAGATTAGGAGCTGAGTTCTGCCTGCTGTTTCGATCAATAATAGTTCAAACGTTCTTCGGACTTCACTCCTTGCTCCTGTTTGTTACCCATACAGCCTTCGTTTATCTAAATTGGTTATTCATTGATATTTTGGCAGATTTTGAATAATTCATATTGACCCAACTGTGAAAAACTCGGCGCCTCGGTGGGATTCGAACCCACGCAGTAAGGGGGAAGGCTTTAGTACAGCCAACGCTCTAACAACCTAACCTACGAGACCCCGCCGGACGACGCGAGTTTTATCACACTTGGGTCAAGTTACCCGCCCAACCTACTGCAACGTCTGGAATCCACCAAATCTGATACAGTAAGTTGACTGCCCAAGCAGGATTTCCTCTTCCCCGATCTCTCAGCAGGAATCTCAATGTTCTCCCCCCATTCATCGCACCCTTCTCGTAACGTGATGTCCTCCTTTGCCAAAAACCCACAGAAGTAAACCGGGTCATCTGACCTGTCCGCTCTAGACTACCTCCGTTTTGCCCGCCACCAAACCCCACCAGGAATCCGTCCTTCCTACTGGAATGCCTGGAATCTCAGAAGGAGTCTGAAATCTTAATGACGCTCCGTTCTAACTCGCTGCTATGCTTTTCTTGTCTCATACCACTCTCAGAAAGAACCCACCCTGCTCCTCTACACCCCTTAATAATAATAATTTATTAAAGACTCGTCGGGGTCCCATCAAAGCAAAATGCTTTTTCCTGAAAAAATGTTTAAATAGAGGTTTCCCTGAACTCTATAGCCACTTTTGCTCTCGGGAATTTTGTCACTACTTGGCTCGTATTTCACTATTATTTTATAAGATAACTTACAATTTGACATCTGTGGATATTATCATCAAAAGCGTCATACACGAAACGGCAAATCGCCGGCGGTCGTGAAAAAAAGCTTTACTCTATAGAGCACAGTTTCCGAATTTTACCGTGCGTTAGACCTTTCGGGAAAACCATCACTGTCTACAAAGCCTGTTTTTGCCAATTTACTGTTAACCTTTTTGCGCAGTGACCTCTGAGTGCTTAAAAACAAGCTATTATAAGTGTTCAGTATTTCAATGACGGCCTTACTTCCCAAATTTATTCTCGTCTGGTGTAGTTTGCTTTTGTTCGCCTGAGGCGGCTATGAGGTCATTTTTTTCCTCAGTACTGTGTTAAGAATGCTGTATCATTCATATGCGGAGCAAATCGACGTGCTCGTACACGGTCTCTCTAAGGTTTGCCTTCGCAGACAGACGAAGTTCTGGATACTCATCTTAGGCTTTGTTTTCGTACCCAGCCAGTAAAGCAGAATATCACCATGTCATTTATTTGCAAAAGACAAGACCTGTAAACCACTTAAATGTCTCCCAACTTAGAAGACTTATCAAAGGCTAATTTACTTGTAGCGTCCGACCTCAATAGTGCTTCGGTGGGCGAGGGTTCACTGGTGTCCTTCTGGGTTGCCTGAGACGGAACGGCGGAAACTGGGGCACTCTGTCCAATTTGTGAACCGTTAGGTTCGTCCTTCCAAGCGTTCATTATCGAATAACAATCCTCAAGCACACGATAAGCCGCGTAGTACTCCAAGGTTTATTGAGGAAGGGCAAAAAAAGAGAACGTAGAACGAGGGCGAAACAGAGGGGGGAATATATTAGTCCAACAAACGTTAGTTTCACAGTTGTCCAGGGAAGGTGGAGTTGGATGCTGTCACCGGGGAGGGGGAGTCTTCTTCCTCGCGCACCTCAACTGAAAAACAAGAGAAAGCAGACTGATAGTGTCCAGACACCAGGCACCCTTGCTATCAAAACTAGCGACCTTGTCTATTAAAACAACCGTTCAAGTGTCCTTGCTACAAATGCCCCCCCCCTAGGCAGTGCCCCGTCCGCGGGGCCTGGCGGAGGGTGTGGGTCGGGAGGAACTTCCACTTCATTGTTAGGCGAGGGGACTAAATGGGGAGGGAGGATGGGTAGGGTATCGTGGGACGCTACGGGAAGACTGCCGTGGCAAGGTTTTAACTTGTCGAAGTGTACAGTGAAGGTGGGGCCGGCGTGGGTGAGGGCGTCGCGGATAATGTAAGTAGTGGGCGAAATGACGTCGGCGACCACGAACGGTCCTTCCCACGGATGGAAGAATTTGGCCGGTGTGCCAACAGGCGGAACCGCCCGATAGCGGAGCACTACATCGCCGATGTGGTAGGGGAGCCCGTGTGCCCGGCGGTCGAAGTAAGTCTTCTGTCTGTCGTAGGCGTTGCGGAGTTGTGTGCGGGCCAGGTTGTGCGTGAGTCTTAGTAGCTCCTGTAGCTCTATCACGCAGTTGTCGGTTGTATAGGCCGTCGGTTTCTGCGCAGGGACGTTCGAGTCTGCCGGTAGTCGGAATTGGCGGCCGGTCAACATTTAGAATGGGGCGTGGCCCGTTGAAGAGTGAATGGCGGCTCTGTAGGCCATCATAGCGAAGGGCAATTTCACGTCCCAATCGTGTGGGTGGTGGTCCTCGGCGAACGCCTTCAGGATATTAATGATGGTTCGGTTTGTACGCTCCACCTGGCCATTGCCTTCTGGGTGGGTTGGTGTAGTTCGATTCTTGTGGATGAGGAGCAGGTCACAGACTTCGCGCAGAAGGTGGCTTTCGAAGTTGGCTCCGCAATCGGAGTGAAGTGAAAAAGGTGCTCCGTATCGACAGACCCATTCCTTTTGCAGCGCATTGGTGACCGAAGCTGCATCTTGCCGATGTAAGGGGATGGCCTCAGCCCACTTCGTAAAATAATCGACCAACACTAAGATGTAGCGATGGCCGCAAGTTGTGTAAGGCAACGGGCCGACTATGTCTACGCCCACCCGCTCAAAAGGAAAGCCTGTAATCATAGGCTGTAGGGGTGCACGATTTCGTGGGATGGTGCCCTTGAAGGAGGCACAGGTGGAGCACGCGTTACAGAAGTTGGCGACCTGCTCTCTGAGGCGGAGCCACCAGAAGCGCTGCCTAGCGGCCGCTTCCGTTTTAGTCTCTCCTACATGTCCCAACTCGTGGTGTAAGTCTGTGAGGACAGGCGTGACGAGGCTAATCGGGACAACTAGCCGCGGACGGGTGGATGTTGCGTCTTTAAAGAAGAGTAGTTCATTCTCAACGAACAGATTGGCCCATTGGTGGCACAAGAGGCGGGGAACCTCCGAGAAGCCGCGAAGTTCGATCTCTGTTGGTCTGTGTCGACCATGCAACTGGTGGTCGTAAATTATTGCGGTGTCCGGATCGGTACTTTGTGCCACTGCCCAATGATAACGAGTGGGTTCGCTGATTGTAACCGCCGCTATGTGTTCATCCGTTACTTCTGGGTCTGCTGTGCCGGCCTCACTTGGGCGGCGAGAAAGGGCGTCCGCGTTGGCGTGTTGGTGGCCTGGTCGATATTGACAAGTGAAATCGAATTCTTGCAGTAGTTCTTGTCATCTCGCAAGCTGGCCTTCGGCTTCTTTCATGTTTTGCAACCACTGTAAGGCCTTGTGGTCGGTGCGGACAATGAAGTGCTTTCCCATTAAGAATGGTTTTAATTGTTTGATAAACGTAATCAGTGCTAACAATTCTCGTCGTTAGGTGCAGTAGTTTCGCTCGGGCTTCGGTAGGGTTTTGCTCGCAAAGCAAATCGGTCGCTCGGCCCCTGTCTCGTCGGCTTGTGAGAGTACGCCCCCGATTGCGAACCCGCTGGCGTCGCTATCGAGTATGAAGGGGGGAGCCTCAGGACTCGTGTCAGGTAGCATTAATATCGGTGCCGAAGTGAGTTTTGCTTTTAACTCATTGAAGGCCTGTTGACAATCGTCGGACCATGTGAATGGGCGACCTTTTTCGGTCAACCGATGGAGGGGACGTGCGAGCTCCGCAAAGTGGAGGATGAAGCGGCGCTAGTAGGAGGCCAGGCCGTGGAAGCCTCTGACTTCTGTTGGGGTCTTCGGCGTAGGCCATGATCTGACTGCCTCTAATTTTTCTTGTGACGCCTGTATGCCTTGCGGGCTGACTTCGTGGCCAAGAAATGTGACTTTCCGGCACAGAAACTTGCACTTTTGTGGATTTAAACGCAAGCCGGCGTCGCGGAGAGCAGAGAGCACTGCGGCAAGGTTAGCGTTATGTTGCCGGGCCGTTCGTCCAAACACGATCACGTCGTCGAGGTATATTAAACAGCTGTGAGGGTATAAGTGGGCCAGGACGGACTGCATCAGTCGTTGGAGGGTGGCGGCTGCGTTGCAGAGCCCGAACGGCATGGTTTCGAATTCAAACAGTCCTTGTGGTAGTATAAACGCTGTTTTGGGCGGTCTTTAGGTTCTACTTCAACTTGCCAATAACCGGACTTCCGGTCCAGCGTTGAGGACCATTGGGCTCCGGCAAGCGCTTCGAGTGTGACATCAATTCTTGGAAGTGGAAACGAATCGCGGGTGGTGACCGCATTAAGTCTATACAAAATCGGAGTTTGCCGTCTTTTTTGGGCACTAATGTGACTGACGATACCCACGGCGACTTGGAGGGGCGGATTATCCCTGTGGTCAGCATCGTTTGAATAAGGTCGCCCACCTCCTTCTGAAAGTGTGGTGGAATGCGGCTTGGTGGTTGCCACAGAGGTCTCGACGTGCCGGTGTCAATGCTGTGACGGATGACAGCGGTGCGGCCTAAGGAGGTATTATCCCATGCGAAAACATCGCTAAACGCAGTCAGAAGTGACTTCAATTCTGCCTTGTCGGTAAGGGCGACCGTATCATCTGGGGGTAAGACCGTGTCTACACTTGTGGGTGGTAAGGCTACCGACGCTGCGATGGCCGCGCAGGTGGCTTCTTCGTCAAATTCGGCGGCTGTTGTGTGGTTAGGCGGTGGCTTATACCCTAAGGATAGCATGCGCTCTTTGACCATAATACAACAGTTGTGTGCAGAAAGGAGTGTGCCGAGTATCATGTCCCACGACATCCTGTGAGTGACGACAAACGCTTGTTCCTTAACGCTGGTTGGAAAGGAAATGGACAGTCGAACCATCCCTAACGTGGTCATGGGTGACCCGTCTGCGGTTTTGAGATGTGGTGAGCGACCGCTTTCTCGGGCGAGGTTAAGCCACTTAGAGCCTAGTGCATCTGCCCGAACTAAGGACGTGGTGGCACCTGTATCGACTAGAGCCTTAATGGGTTTGTCGTCTAGGTAAATCGTCGTGTAAAACGGTAAACTATGTGACGCGTTATCAAAGCAGACGGGAATGATGTGGTTACCTTCCTTGGTAATCGCCGCCGCAGTACTGTCTCTATCTCCCCGGAATTGTTATTGCCCAGTGTTGAGCGGTGGGGGTCGATAGGGCGTGCGGAACGTGGGGTGTCGGCTGCCGCGGTTGAATCGTTGTGAAGGCTGGTAGTGCGGTCTGGTCCAGGTGTTGTCCTGTTGCCTGCGGTCTGGCGTGGATTTCCACGGTTCAGCCCGGGGGTGGTTATCGCCTGTTGGGGCATTGGTTGTTAGCATGCGGGATGCCCGCTGCATGGCTTCGTTGAGGTCGCCCGGTGGCTGAATTCTCAGGGAATACGTCACCTCCTGGGACCCGAGTCCGCGTTTGAAGTGGTAAAGGACCACTTGGCCTCTATCAGCCGCTGACAGTGAGGGGAAGGCGTCGCGCGCGAGCCGAAGTAAGGTTTCGGCGAACTGCCGAGGGGTCTCATCGCTCCTTAAGGAACGTTTTAGTAACTGGTCAAGGGCTTCCTCTATGGTCAATGGGGGTTGGAATAGCCTCTGCAAATGGTCGCACAGCACCTGGGAAGGGGTGTGGCGGGTGAGGCCGGCATAGAGTGCCTTGTCCATCTGGTCGTCTGCAAGATGTTGAAGCACCGTACGGCTGCGTTCGTCTTGTGGAACATCATCAAGATGGAACTTAAGGCGGCGCAGCCAGCACGAAAAATCCTTACTCCCGTCGTAGGGTTTAAAAGAAGACGGAAAAGGGTTTGTTGTATTGTTCTTAGGCTGTGGGCTCGGCTCGTTCGCTGCCACCATTGTAGCGTCCTACCCCGATAGTGGTTCGGTGGCCGAGGGTTCACTGGTGTCCTTCTGGGTTGCCTGAGACGGAACGGCGGAAACTGGGGCACTCTGTCCAATTTGTGAACCGTTAGGTTCGTCCTTCCAAGCGTTCATTATCGAATAACAATCCTCAAGCACACGATAAGCCGCGTAGTACTCCAAGGTTTATTGAGGAAGGGCAAAAAAAGAGAACGTAGAACGAGGGCGAAACAGAGGGGGGAATATATTAGTCCAACAAACGTTAGTTTCACAGTTGTCCAGGGAAGGTGGAGTTGGATGCTGTCACCGGGGAGGGGGAGTCTTCTTCCTCGCGCACCTCAACTGAAAAACAAGAGAAAGCAGACTGATAGTGTCCAGACACCAGGCACCCTTGCTATCAAAACTAGCGACCTTGTCTATTAAAACAACCGTTCAAGTGTCCTTGCTTCAAGTGTTCATGTGTCCTTGTTCAAGTGTCCTTACTTCCCAAATTTATTCTCGTCTGGTGTAGTTTGCTTTTGTTCGCCTGAGGCGGCTATGAGGTCATTTTTTTCCTCAGTACTGTGTTAAGAATGCTGTATCATTCATATGCGGAGCAAATCGACGTGCTCGTCCACGATCTCTCTCAGGTTTGCCTTCGCAGACAGTCGAAGTTCTGGATACTCATCTTAGGCTTTGTTTTCGTACCCAGCCAGTAAAGCAGAATATCACCATGTCATTTATTTGCAAAAGACAAGACCTGTAAACCACTTAAATGTCTCCCAACTTAGAAGACTTATCAAATGCTAATTTACTTCCTTCCCACGAATAGATGTCACCGTGGCTGTCAAATTAAAGCACAGACCATGGCTCATAAAGAAGAAGGAATTCGTCTGCATTTATTCTTCGTGGCATATCAGATAGCCAACCTCCTAGTACATCCATTTACACTCAGAGGACCTATGGTAAAAACAGAATAGAAGCAGATATGCTTTTCCAAAATAGGACCAACTCGCGAACTGCACTGCCTGACTTGTACGTTACAATCGCCGGATTGTTTACTGTTAACGAAACGGCATGACTTTCGTTTGGGTTTCAGTATGATAAAAATTGACTTATGGCTGTGTTCGCTGCAACCCTACAATGTTGCACGCATCGGAACCCGATTTTGACTGATTCAAGTGGTATCTTTTGGTCTACAGTCTCGTATTATTAAGCTGATGCTGTCGCGACCTTCAGCATCGGAATCATTTGAAATTTCTTATTACCACGAACAACTTTGCGATTATTTCACGCATTAGTCTTCATTTATGGGTATACTGAGCAAATGTTGACAAAAGTTCGGAATTTTAACATGTGCGGATTCTGTTTTCTCATGGATTTCACACGTATAATGGCCACATCCTCTCCATACTTGACATGCACACTGAATAAATATGCTGGGTTTAGTCATGAGGACTTTAATGAAAAGTCCTGACTTTAGCTTATCCGAGGCTGATTAAAAGCCAGCCACTATAAATAAACTTTTCTGACGCAAAACAGGCTCGGGAAACAGTGTTATTCGAAGCTATGTTGAGGTTTGCGAAGTGCTCATCTGATCAGCATTTTGCGGAAGGGAATCGTCGGAATCATACTCGAATGTCAGGGATATGTGCTGTTTATACGAAGGCTGGATAAGCCCTCGTGCTTTTGCAAACTTCGATGCAATTCTTTTGGAGCTTGCGGAAAGATTTTTAGGAATTAGAAGCCGTCTCACCAAGTGCATGGCATAAAATTAATTCCAAGGAACTTTGGTGATGACTATATGTCAAACAGAGACTACTAGCAAATGAGCAGTCTGATGTCGATCATACTTCTTTAAAAGAAAAGTATTCATTTTCTGGTTGTTTATTACTACAGAAATAAGAGGATTGGCGATATGGCGTGAGGGTCCCTTGTTTAAACCTATGGATAGTTCAGGAGCGCGGCGCTCGAGGTACGCTCGTGAATTTGGCTGTAGTCATGTTTTTACCAACTGTTGTTCCTAGATGGTGCATTACACTCGCTTCGTCGAGGTTGGACGTGTGGTCTACATAGTTTTTGGCTCGCACCAAAAGAAACTGGCTGTTATTGTGGAGATCATTGACCAGAACCGGGTTCTCATCGATGGCCCTTGCACTGGTGT